GTGTATGTGTATCAGTATATGTGGTTCATTTTCATATTAGCTTTAATAATGAAACTAATGACACATTAATAAATCGATGCCACACTGCCATCAAAATAATGTCATATAAGGGAAAAAAGTATATTATGCCATTAAATATAGCTACATCTTTTTTTTTCGTCTGATTTCAGGTTGATTCTTATCTCTACATGTTTTGAGATGTTTATATTTTTACACTAAGTGTGCACATTTGTGTTATAATTAACTAAACCTGATTTTTTCCCTGTAAAGTTCAGACTTAATTTAGTATTATAGTCTGAATGGGCAAAACATGCTTAGCCACACCCCTCCATCCATTACTTTTGCTGCTAGTGAAAGATATGAGATAAAAATATATAAAAATATATATAAAATAAAACCCCACCCCTACTTGATATTCCATTTCATATGCAAGTATGGTATCATAACAAAAAACCTGCCCCTATTCAATATTCAGTTTATTTTGGAAATACTTTATCATACTAAAATAAAATCCCATCCCCTATTCAATATTCTGTTTCTGTAAGAAGTACTTTATTATACTAAAATGGAAACCCCGCCCCCTACTCAATATTCCTTTTTAGTTGGAAATACGTCAACATACTAACATGAAAACCCCGCCCCCTATTCAATATTCAGTTTCAGTAAAAAATACATCATCCTACTAAAATTAAACTCCGCCCCCTACTAAATATTCAATTTCAGTTGGAAATACGACATGATACTAAAATAAAATCCTGCCCCCTCCTTAATAATTTGTTTCAGTTTCCAAACTTACTGAAATAAAACTAAAAACGCCCCTACTAAAAAAATAGTTTCAGATGGAAATATGTCATCATACTGAAATAAAACCCTGCCCCTACTCTATATTCAGTTTCAGTTGGAAATACATCATCATACTAAAATAAAACCCCACCCCCTTCTCAATATTCAGTTTCAGTTGGAAATACATCATCATACTAAAATAACCCCCCCCCCCATACTAAATATTCAGTTTCAGCTGGACATACGTAATCGTACTGAAAATAAAACCCCGCCCCTACTCTATATTCAATTTCAGTTGGAAATCATACTGAAATAAAGCCCTGCCTCCTCCTTAATAATTTGTTTCAGTTTCCAATCATACTGAAATAAAACCCCGCCCCTACTCAATATTCTGTTTCCATAAGAAATACATCATCATACTAAAATAAAACCCCACCCCAACTAAATAAGTTTCAGTTTAAAATCATTCTGAAATAAAAACCCGCCCCTAATAAAAAATCTGTTTCAGTTGCAAAATACATCATCATACTAAAAATAAACCCACCCCCTACTCAATATTTAGTTTCCGTAGAAAATACATCATCATACTGAAATGAAACCCCACCCCCTACTTAATATTCAGTTTCAGCTGGAAATACATCATCAAACTGAAATGAAACCCCACCCCCTACTCAATATTTAATTTCAGTTGGAAATACATCATACTGAAATGAAACCCCACCCCCTACTTAATATTCAGATTCAGTTGGAAATACATCATTATACTGAAATGAAACCCCACCCCCTACTTAATATTCAGTTTCAGTTGGAAATACATCATCATACTAAAATAAAACCCCACCCCCTACTCAATATTCAGTTTCAGTTGGAAATACATCATCATACTGAAATAAAACCCCACCCCCTACTCAATATTCAGTTTCAGTTGGAAATACATCATCATACTGAAATAAAACCCCACCCCCTACTCAATATTCAGTTTCAGTTGGAAATACATCATCATACTAAAATAAAACCCCACCCCCTACTCAATATTCAGTTTCAGTTGGAAATACATCATCATACTGAAATGAAACCCCACCCCCTACTTAATATTCAGTTTCAGTTGGAAATACATCATCATACTGAAATGAAACCCCACCCCCTACTTAATATTCAGTTTCAGCTGGAAATACATCATCATACTGCAATGAAACCCCACCCCCTACTCAATATTTAATTTCAGTTGGAAATACATCATACTGAAATGAAATCCCACCCCCTACTTAATATTCAGTATCAGTTGGAAATACATCATCATACTAAAATAACCCCCCCCCCCTACTCAATATTCAGTTTCAGTTGGAAATACGTCATTATACTGGAATAAAACCCCGCCCCCTACTCAATATTCAGTTTCAGTTGGAAATACGTCATTATACTGGAATAAAACCCCGCCCCCTACTCAATATTCAGTTTCAGTTGGAAATACGTCATTATACTGGAATAAAACCCCGCCCCCTACTCAATATTCAGTTTCAGTTAAAAGGAAAACTTCCTGAGTACACAGACTTTTAGTTACTTGTTTAAAACCCTATTTTAATCTTATTTACTAAAAGGATTTTATTTAAAAAATATATCAAATTATTAGCACCAACTTTAACGTACAACATCTACATTCAGCAGTCAGGGCGAATGTCCAGTGTTGTCCAGCCATCGGTCTATCCGTACATTAAAGATAGACGTAGACGGACGGAGCTTTGGTTCCGCTTTACCTTCTCACTACATTTGCGAATGGTGGAGGTGAGTTCGCTCACAACCATATCTATACATTTCAGGCACGGCCCGTTTAGCTTTTGGATCTGCTTTTTCACTATAGCCTCAAAGGCCAGGTCAGGGGTAAACAGGCCCGTCCTGTAGAGGAATCATGGAGGAAGAGAAGAAGAAGAGGAGGATCCGTACAGGCGGAAGAATGACAGATAGACAGGGGTAGTAGGGCAGACAGACAGACAGACAGCACAGAGGAAAGAGAAGGCAAGTGAGACATTTGGTTTCTCCTCAAGCCATTCAACAGCGGCTTCGAGATGAAGACTCTACAGTAAAGAGACGTCAACCCGTCACCCGAGACAGAAGCTTCCAGAAATCAGCTGCGCAAACAAAAGGCAGTCGGAGAGCGTCCTGAAGTGTCTTTGGACCCACATATAAAACACTATAGTCATTTATAGCAATAAATGCTGGTGTTTATGAACCATACTAATGCTGTATATAGTACATTACTGACAACTCTGTGAATGAATGCTCCAGCATACTGTAGTGTTAGCTGTGGTGAACTGAGAAACTGTTAGCAACACTGTAGTAAACACTTAGTTCTAGAAAACTACTATTTGTTTATACCATTTGTTTATATTACTCTAAATGTTGTGTTACCATAGCAACTGTAGAATCACCACAGCAGAATAATCACAACAGCTGTCGCGTTACCATAGCAACTGTAGAATCACCACAGCAGAATAATCACAACAGCTGTCGTGTTACCAAAGCAACTGTAGAATCACCACAACAAATAAACCACTATAGATGCTGTGTTACCATAACTACTGTAGAATCGCCACTACAGAATAACCCCTATCTTTGTTGTGTTACCATAGCAACTGTAGAATCGCCACTACAGATTAACCCCTATCTTTGTTGTGTTACCATAGCAACTGTAGAATCACTACAGATTAACTACTATGGATGTTGTGTTACTATAGCAACTGTAGAATCGCCACTACAGATTAATTACAATAGATGTTGTGTTACCATAGCAACTGTATAATTGCCACTACAGATTAATTACAATAGATGTTGTGTTACCATAGCAACTGTAGAATCACCACAGCAGAATAATCACAACAGTTGTCGTGTTACCATAGCAACTGTAGAATCACCACAACAAATAAACCACTATAGATGCTGTGTTACCATAGCTACTGTAGAATCGCCACTACAGATTAACCCCTATCTTTGTTGTGTTACCATAGCAACTGTAGAATCACTACAGATTAACCACTATGGATGTTGTGTTACCATAGCAACTGTAGAATCGCCACTACAGATTAATTACAATAGATGTTGTGTTACCATAGCAACTGTATAATTGCCACTACAGATTAATTACAATAGATGTTGTGTTACCATAGCAACTGTATAAAATTGCCACTACAATATGACCCCTATGGATGTTGTGTTGCCATAGCAACTGTAGAATCGCCCCTACAGATTAACCCCTATCTATGTTGTGTTACCATAGCAACTGTAGAATCACCACTACATATTAACCCCTATGGATGTTATTACCATAGCAACTGTAGAATCGCCCCTACAGATTAACCCCTATCTATGTTGTGTTACCATAGCAACTGTAGAATCACAACAGATTAATTTAATGGATGTTGTTTCTATAGCAACTGTAAAATCCCCACTACAGATTAACCCCTATGGATGTTGTGTTACCATAGCAACTATAGAATCACAACAACAGATAAATTACAATAAAAGTTGTTACCATAGCAACTGTTGAATTGGCACTACAGATGAACCCCTATGGATGTTGTGTTACCGTAGCAACTGTAGAATCACCATTACCGATTAATTACTGTGGATGTTTTGTTACCATAGCAACTGCAAAATAACCTCAACAGATGATTTCAACTGCTTTACTATAGTATGGTTCATAAACACCATAGTATTTACTGTAAATGATGACAGTATATTGTGATGTGGGGATAAAGTGTGTTATTGATCAGATCTCACAGTCAGACAGTGACAGGAGCACAGACTGCCGTCAGCTGCGTCTCAGCCTTCCTCAAAACTTCAGTCTCCAGAAAACAGAGAGTGTGTTCACTGAGCTCTGCTGGATAGGCATATATTACACGAGGGATATATATATATATATATGATCTGGAATATTTTCTAGTAATTAACTCATTTTTGTAGTAACTTACCCAACACTGATGGGTGGTTAGGGGTCTGTGATATTGAGATCTATATTTAGATCAGTGAAACTCAGTGTCCACAACATCTCTCTGTACACAAAGCTAATGCTGCCATTCCACCCACAATCCCTCTGTCAAAGCGGCAGGCAAACACACACACACACACACATCCACAGCGCCGAATACCCACTAACCCCTGCGGGGGGAGAGGCTGGTGGGTCACAGCAGTATTTTGGGGCCACACGGTGACCCTTCTTTTACCTTCTTGGTACACTGCCTAACCGTATTGACTAGCTCAGAAATGACCATGTCCACGCATTTCTGGCACGGCTCTTTAATCTTCCCGATCTGCCGTTTCACAATGGTCTCAAAGGCCATGTCCGGCGTGAAGAGGCCCGTTCTGCCCGCCAAAGAGAACGGACAGAACCACAGACGAGGAGGAGAGAAAGAAAAAGGGGAGAAATCGGGTGCAAAGAAAAGTGTTAATCCAAAAATGAAATCCCTCCCAGCCCATGAGAACTGACTGAACTCTAATGAAGGCCTGCGTGTTGGGTTAACTTATTTATTCAGATCAACTCATTATATTAAATATTTATGCTGGTAAAACTTTAGTTTAGGTCACAAACTAATTACATTTAGTAATGTTCAACCATTAGTTTAAATTCAGCACATATCAAAGGTTTACCTTAAATAAATGTAGTAAATCCAGTGCATTCTTTTTCAGTGAGTGGTTTAACTCATTCACCAGAGTGTTTAACATTCAGCTCAATTATTTACATCAGAAACACTTTAATTTAGCTCACAACGCATGCTATTAAATACTGGCTTATTATTAAAATATTAATTAGCAGTTATAAAGCATGATCTTCTTCTGCATCTCTAATCTTTAACCCAAAACCTACTGCCTCACTATCTATTAATGAACAGCTAATTAGTAGATTATTAAGCTAGTAGTGCAGTCAATGCTTTGATAATACAGTGAATTGTAACCTAAAGTGTTACTAATCTACATTATTTATTTGCTGAACATTTAAACATCTCATAAATAAGTTGGTAACACTTTAGTTTAGGTCACAAGTCACTCCAACCTTAAACTAAGTTGGGTTTAGGTTTTGGGTAGGATTAGGGATGCAGGATAAGATCTTTATAGCTTAATTGTTATGCTTCATAGCTACTAATAAACAGTTAATGTCTTAATAACAGGCGGGTAATCAGGCAGTAGTTAACAGCATGAATTGTGAGCTAAAATAAGGTGTTAGCTTTACATTTATACTACAGGTTTAAACTCATTTATCAGAAGGTTTCATTGGTTAATGTATTTAACTCATTTTCTCAGTGAATTTAGGTCATATGTTTTGGTTAATTCTAACTAAAATATAAAAAAATACAAATAAAATACTAATTTATTCACAAGATTTTTAAAATGTATTAGAAAATCACTTTAACTGGATTTTGCCTAATATAATACTAATTTGTTTAAATTATTTGTTTAAATTTAAATGCTTGATTCTGATTGGCATTTTATTTTTTCCAGAAAGACACACAGCTCCAGTAGTTCAGTTTAACAGTAACTGTTGAAATTATGTACTGATTTCACCATTTACTATGTCACATTCAGTACAATTGAAGTATTGACTATCTACAAAAAAACTAAAAAACTAAAACTACTAAAACATTTTTTTGCATGAGGTTTAACAATTACATTCAATTTGTAATTATTCGAAAGAAAAATATAACCGAAAATTTATTTAAAATATTTTTAAATGTATTATAAAGAATTGTATTTAACCTGATTTTGCATAACATGATATACTATATATTTATATTATATATACTCTATAATATAATATAATATAAATGTAATGTTATATATATATATATACATATATACATATATATATATATATATATATATATATATATACATATATATATACATACACACACACACACATATATAACATTACATTATTTATATTTATATATATATATATATATATATATATATATATTATACCGTTTTTATTTATATATATTTTATATTTTTTATTTTATATTACATTTATTTTAATGAAATAAATTTAATTGAATCATTTAATCATCTTTTTTTTTATTAATTTACTATTTGACAGCTTATGTTAATTGTTCATGATAATAAAAGACTTAAGGATGTAAAGAACCCCTTATGTTAGCTATTGACAATATAATGTCTGTCTTAGTGCTGGGAAAAGATTAAGTGGAATTAATCACATCCAAAATGAAAGTTTGTTTTGACATAATATATGTGTGTGTTACTGTTTATATTTATGCTGTATATGTATGTAGTACACACACGCGCACGCACACACACCCATACATACATAAAACTTTTTTGCATAGATATTTAAGTGTAAATATAATTTCTATTATATATATATATATATATATATATATATATATATATATATATATATATATGATTATAAAATATGTTTAAGGAATTAAATGCAGCATCCTTCATTTATTCTATTAGGTAAGGTGAGATCTCCACTTAAAGAGCCCATATTATGGGTTTTTGAAAATTCCCCTCCATGTAGTGTGTAACACAGCTCTAAGTGAAGTGAAGTATCCAGCTAAGGCTTAAATCTGTTAGTGTACAGTGTTTAAAACGGTTGATTCATCTATAAAAGAGTCGACTCATAGTGCTTCAAACGAGTCGCCTTGATACCGATTCATTAGGTGTTTCGCCATGACGTACGAACGAAACCAAGTTATTCACGTGCACGCGCAAACCCGGGAGATTTCAAACCTGCGGCCCCGCCCTCTGACGCAGTAACCCAGACACACACACCCACAAACACACGCACACAAACATGCCGGTCGATTGAAGTCACACTGCAGATGGACATTATCGATTCTCTACCCAGAGATGAAACCTCAGCATTATAACCAAGCAGTTGGAAACTTCTGGAAACTACAGGCTACAAAGAATACTTCATCTGAGTTTGTTAAAGGAAGGATCAGTAAAGAGTAACTGATGGACGTCAGGATGGATTTTTCTTCCTCCATTTCTCAAGTGTAAGTACGTGCGATTAAAGTTGCCTCGTTGACTCTAGCTTGCAAATGTATTTAGTTGTGATTTGTTACTTGTAACCGCGTGTACTTTATCAGGTTAACTGGCTATATTCTCTTATCGCGTGCAAAGTCACGTTAAAAATGCGACGCGTGCTGTTTGTTTACGGAGCTCCGTGGTAGAGGTCTGCATCCTGTTACCGACCGCTCCCGCGATTGATTCGGAAATTTATTCCCGCGCCGCAGAAATCTGGGAAATAAATTTGGAAAATAAATTTCCGAATCAATCGCGGGAGCGGTCGGTAACAGGTTTAATTTGGGACGGGAGCGGGCTGTCTAGCAATATCGTGGATATTGCTATGCGAATGAGACAGAGCTTTGCCTGCCTGTGTGTCTGCTTGGCGCTTGTGTGTATGTGTTAGTGCGCGCGTATGAGAGAGAGAGAGAGAGAGAGAGAGAGAGAGAGAGCGAGAGAGAGAGCGAGCTCTGTCTGGCTGTCTCTGTACTGTTTTGCTGGGTGATTTTCGGTTATGTTCTCCCCCGCTCTTTAGCGGGATCGGGCGCGGCGGGCAGAAAACGGGGCGGTTCGGGCACCGGGACAAGAAATTCTAAATATAAGCGGGAGCGGTCGGGTTCAGGCTAAATCCTGGCGGGTGCGGGCGGAAGCTGGAGCGTTGTCGTCCAGAGGTGTGTGTGTGTTTGTGTGTGTGTGTGGCAGCTAAAATCCACGCCTACACTATCGAGCGTGCATGAACTGTGATTACTTTTATATTGCTGATTAGCTATTGGGCATTTCATTCTCTGACTGAAGGCAGTCGACCAATCGTGACAGGCTGTCATCGGTCCAATCAGCGCAGATTAGCTTCGCGCTAAGGAGGGGTTTGGAAACAAATGAATCACTGGACGATTCATACAGGAGTCGCTGGGATAATTAGGTAAAAATAAATGCAGATTATAAGACCATGAAAGTGTTTTTTGACTTTGCATGCATATTAGACTGTTGTTGGAGACCCTTACAACCAAGATATGACCCTATTTCATGTATAATATGGGCTCTTTAAGTATCAAACTTAGACAGAAAATGTGCTCAATGCATTATAAAGCTTGAAGCAGTTTTGTATAGTCTCCAGAACAAACCACTTATATATGTTATACAATGACTTGCCTAATTACCCTAACTTTACCCTAATTACCCTAGTGAAGCCTTTACATGTCACTTTAAGCTGAATACTAGTGTCTTGAAGAATATCTAGTCTAATATTATGTACTGTCATCATGGCAAAGGGAAAATAAATCAGTAATTAGAGATGAGTTATTAACACTATTATGATTAGAAATGTGTTGGAGAAATCTGCTCTCCGCTAAACAGAAATTGGGGAATAAAATATACAGCAGGATGGCTGATAATTCTGACTTCAACTGTACATAACACACACACATACATTATGTCAAAACAAACTTTTATTTTGGATGTGATTAATCGTGATTAATATTTTCCCAGCACTAATTTGTTTGCGAGACAAAACAAAAAGCACTAGAAACAGGGTTTACTGGAGAGGCACAGACACAGACGGCGGTTCAGACTTGCTAGCACACACAGATCTGATCAGAAACTGCAGATGATTACGCAAACACACACACACACACACACCGATGCGTCTGTGATCAGATGTGTGATGTACAGCACTGCTTAAAGGAGTTAGAAATATATTCATGTTTTATTTTTCAAAGAAGACTCCTGCTCACCAAGCCTGCATGCATTTATCTGAAGTAAAATATGCTGTATGGCCAAATAAACATTCTGTCGTTTCATATTAAATTCTATTTTTGCATTAATTATGCATTGCATTAATTACATTAATACTTATTAATAAATTATAGGAGTGCAATATTACACACCAGTACAGAGAATGCAGACAGAAACAGACACAATGTTTACATATGCACTCACTGTCCACTTTATTAGGTACACCTTACTAGTACCGGGTTATCCCTTTTGCCTTCAGATCTGCCTTAATACTTTATGGCGTAGATTCAACAAGCTGCTGGAAATATTCCTCAGAGATTTTGCTCCATATTGTCATGATAGCATCACACAGTTGCTGCAGATTTGTCGGCTGCACATCCATGATGCCAATCTCCCGTTCCACCACATCCCAAAGCTGCTCTATTGGATTGAGCTCTGGTGACTGTGGAGGCCATTTGAGTACAGTGAACTCATCGTCATGTTCAAGAAACCAGTCTGAGATGATTGAGCTTTATGACATGGCCATTACACCACCACCACCAGCCTGAACCGCTGATACAAGGCAGGATGGATCCATGCTTTCATGTTGTTGAAGCCAAATTGTGAGCCGAGCATCTGAATGTGTCAGCAGAAATGGAGACTCATCAGAGCAGCAACGTTTCTCCAATCTTCTATTGTCCAGTTTTGGTGAGTCTGTGTGAATTGTAGCCTCAGTTTCCTGTTCTTAGCTGACAGGAGCGGCACCCGGTGTGTTCTTCTGCTGCTGTAGCCCATCCGCCTCAAGGTTGGACGTGTTGTGTGTTCAGAGATGCTCTTCTGCAGAGCTCGGTTGTAACGAGTGCTTATTTAAGTGCTTTCTATCAGCTGGAGCCAGTCTGGCCATTCTCCTCTGACCTCTGGCATCAACGAGGCATTTGCACACACAGAACTGCCGCTCACTGGATATTTCCTCTTTGTCGGAGCATTCTCTGTAAACCCTAGAGATGGTTGTGCGTGAAAATCCCAGTAGATCAGCAGTTTCTGAAATACTCAGAGCAGCCCGTCTGACAGCAACAACCATGCCACGATCAAAGTCTCTTAAATCCCCTTTCTTCCCCATTCTGATGCTCACTTTGAACTGCAGCAGATCGTCTTGACCATGTCTACATGCCGAAATGCACTGAGCTGCTGCCATGTGATTGGCTGATTAGAAATTTGCGTTAACTAGCAGCTGGACAGGTGTACCTAATAAAGTGGCCAGTGAATATATTTATGTGTGTATATATATATTTAAATATATATATATATGCTGATTAAATAAATATGTACATTTTATACACATTTTCAGCTTTATATGATGAACAGAAAGTTCAGAAGAGCAGCATTTATCTGAAATATGAAATAGTTTATCATCACATTTTCAGCACATTTATCTATTTCATGCATCCGTGCTGTATAGAAATATCATTTAAGATTATTTAGTCACCAAAAAACTCAAAGATTTTTAGAAAACAGATATTTTAAATAGTAAATATTTCAGATTTTACTGTGTAGCTTTACTCTGGATCTAAAACAGCAGTCCTGGAGAGCAGAAGAGACGTCTTTAAACTGCATTAAAAATGGTAACGGGTCTAACACTTTTGATCGGTGGTGTAAAACTCAAAGTTTAACTGAAAACGAAGGAAAAGGACGGAGATCAGGACAGAAATAAAGGCCAGACGTGCCTGATGCCGTGGATGTTCTTGATGGCGTAGCTGATCTCTTTACGCAGCTCCTTCTCATCAAACTCCATCTGAAGACACAAAACACACAAATAAACCACAACATCTGCAACATCATCAACATTTCAGATCAGAAAATCAAATGAAAGACGTGTTAAAGTCCACATGACATCAAAACTAATACTGATTTTGTGTTGATCAATTCATCTGTGCACATCAATAAGACTAAAACAGTAGTTTGCTCGTGTAATCTTTCATTGAAATCTGCAAATTCACTCGCTGTTTGTTTTCAGTTCAATCCTCAGATTTGGTCGGAGTAAGGTATTGGGTGGGGCTAACATACTTAACCACGCCCATAACCACGCCCTTCCACCTGTCATTACTATGACATCAAACAGAAATGGTGAGGAGGAGGAGTCTGTTAGGCTGTAATAACTCTCCCCAAACCCTTTTTCCCATCTTACTGGGTGAAACTCCTACTTTACAACATCCAATCAGCTTGCAGTAGAAAAAACAAGCCACGCCCACTGTTTTCTCATTTAATATTCTGTTTCTCTAGAACTGCGTCACGATACGACATGAAAATACAGCAGCTTCTGGTTTATGCAGACTTTAAATTATATTTCATTCAAGGCTGATAAAGGGGAGGAGCTACTGATAAAAGGGAGGAAAAAATTATGAAAAAAAAAGGAGGAGCTGATAATAAAGAAATAAAAGGAGGAGCTGCTGATGAAGGGGAGGGGGTTATAAGTAAGAGGGGCTACTGATAAAGGGGAGGGGCTGATGATAAAGAGGAGGAAAAAATGATGAAGAAGGGGAGGGCCTGATGATAAAGAGGAGGGGCTGCTGGTGAAGGGGAGGGGGTTATAAGTAAGAGGGGCTACTGATAAAGGGGAGGGCCTGATGATAAAGAGGAGGGAACAATGATGAAGAAGGGGAGGGCCTGATGATAAAGGGGAGGAGCTACTGATAAAAGGGAGGAAAAATCATTAAAAAAAAGGAGGAGCTGATAATAAAGAAATAAAAGGAGGAGCTACTGATGAAGGGGAGGGGGTTATAAGTAAGAGGGGCTACTGATAAAGGGGAGGGAAAAATTATGAAGAAGGGGAGGGGCTGATGATAAAGAGGAGGGGCTACTGATAAAAGGGAGGAAAAAATTATGAAAAAAAGGAGGAGTGATAATAAAGTAATAAAAGGAGGAGCTGCTGATGAAGGGGAGGGGGTTATAAGTAAGAGGGGCTACTGATAAAGGGGAGGGGCTGATGATAAAGAGGAGGGGAAAATGATGAAGAAGGGGAGGGGCTGATGATAAAGAGGAGGGGCTGCTGGTGAAGGGGAGGGGGTTATAAGTAAGAGGGGCTACTGATAAAGGGGAGGGAAAAATTATGAAGAAGGGGAGGGGCTGATGATAAAGAGGAGGGGCTGCTGGTGAAGGGGAGGGGGTTATGATAAAGAATAGGAGCTACTGATGATAAAGAGGAGGAAATGATGATGAAGAAGGGGGTGAAGCTGGTGATAAAAAGGAGGGGCTGGTGATGAAGGAGAGGGGCTTAAAAGTAAAAGGGGCTATTGATAAAGGGGAGGGGCTGATGTTAAAGAGGAGGAAATTATGACGAAGAAGGGGAGGGGCTAAGGATAAAGAGGAGGGGCTGATGTTAAAGAGGAAATGATGGCGAAGAAGGGGAGGGGCTAAGGATAAAGAGGAGGAAATGATTATGAAGAAGGGGAGGAACTGATAATAAAGAGGAGGGGCTGCTGGTGAAGGGGAGGGGCTTATAATAAAGAATAAAAGCTACTGATGAAGGGGAACGGCTGATGAAAGAGAGGAAAGATTATGAAAAAGGGGAGGAGCTACTGGTGAAGGGGAGGGGTTTATAATAAAGAATTGGGGGCTATTGATGAAGGGGACGGCTGATGAGCCAAGGGAGGATTTACTGATAAAAGGGAGGAGCTGTTGATAGAGGGGAGGAGCTGCTTGTTGAGTTGTTAAGCTTGGAAACCATTTATCCAGAGAGTAACAAAATAAATCAGACGAAGGACACTACTGTCAAATCATAGAGGATTCAGTGCAGAGTGTATATAATGTGTCAGTCAAAGCTTCATTTTGGAAGGGTGTTTTCTGTGTGTGTTTGTGAGTGTGTGTGTGTGTGTGTGTGTGTGTGTCCTCCAGGCCACAGAAAGGTGGAATGTTTTACTCATAAGTGCTGGTCTGAGATCTGCAGGCAATCCTGCGGCGTGACTCATACAGACACAGAGAGAGAGACAGTCTGAAAACTACTCAAATTCACCATGTATTCATAGTGACTCACTGAATAACTGCTGCAGACTAACATTTACAATAATTAAGACTAGTTAATGTCTTTGAAAGATGTTTCCACTTTAAAAAAAATAGTTATAGTGAGCTATAGTTATGTTTTGAAGGGTTAGTTCACCCAAATATGATAATACTGTTATTAATTACTCTTGATCATAGATATATACATTAGATGTCGCCTGGCCTATTGTTGTCTATTGGACGGAATGCGTCAATAGCGCCGCCATCTTGCTACAGGGTAGTGCTCCTTTGAAATGAATGCGGGACCAAGGTACAGTGGAGGACTGTGGCCATCCAAAGCCACAAATATACACATATACACATATATCTGTAATCGGGAGTTTTCCTGGATGTTAGTATGTAATTTTTTTTTCTAATTATGAAAATTATAATTTTACATCACTTTTCTACATTGATGGATCAGTGACCGCACGGGCATTCCTGACAAAAAGCTTGTGTTTGTGTGTACAGAAATGTACTATTCACCCTCCCTGTTAAACTTGATCTAATCATGTCCTGAAACACAGCTCCTCTCCTGCTTTCACTGCTCATACTGACGGAGGGAGCGATTTGTTTGTGAATGAGTCCCCCGAACGACTCTTTCACTAACGTTAGGCGACAATAACACAAGTTTCTGGCAGCGTCTCGTTGTCATATTTCTTTTGCATTGTTTGCTGATTTTATTCAACAAAACTAGCATAAGCCGAGTGTTTAGTGTGAGTTGGAGCTGCTTTGCCGTATGGTGAATGCAGTAAGTGACTGTTATCATCAATAACGTTACCTGATTAGCACAAAAGTTCAGAACATACAAAAACAGAAAAAAACTTAATATTACCTATGAAATGTTCTGCCTTTGTGCTTTGTTTTCTTTGTTTGGTTGTTACTACACCCGTAGACAGCGCTAAAGTCCCGCATCTTCACGTAATAACACTGTCTTGACTAGTGCGGTTGAATGACATTTGTCCTGGGAGCACTGTACCAATGTGGCGGCGCTATTGACGCATGCTCAGGGTCCCTATGCGATATCTAGTGTATATATCTATCACTCTTCATGATGTCATTGTGCTGCTCTCTTGCTGCCAGACAATCACCTAATAATACATAACGGATGGTGTAATCCAGTGTGTTAGCACTCGTGCTCTCTCACCTTCACCAGCTCGAAGGGGAATCGCTCATGGAAGATGCGGTTGATTCGAGCTCCTCCAGAAAGCTCATAGGTGTCTATCTGATCTCCTGAACCCTCGATACGCTTCTCAAAGTCCACTGAGAACTGCTGCACCATCCTGAACACAATAAACATAAACGGCATCTAATATCCGGCACAATGTCTTGATACTTGAATGATATTTTAATAATGAAAGCAGATGGTTTAGAGCTCGCTATATGTCTGAATCCACTTTTGCTGTTTTAAGGTGAGGCTGAAACTAGTCATTGTGGCGTATCGTATTGTGCTGGCCGTATGATAGCGTGTGGACTGACTGCAGCAGGGCTTTGGTCTTCCTGGACGGGTCATCTGGACGGAAGTTCTTGTATTCCTCCACTTCCTTCTCGATGGACAGAAGCTGGCTCTGGAGCTTAGCGCGCAGCCCAGGCAGCGTGTCGCGGATATGATTGGTCAGTTGCTGGAAGAGAAAACAGAGAAACACAGAGAGGAATGATGAAGACAAGTCAGTTTATCTTGACGACATTTGCATTTATAAATTATAAATTGACTAAAACTAGACCAATAAGTCACTCATGATTTAAATATGCAAATGAATCAATTTATGCAGTGACATCCAAATCTTAAGTTACAAGAAAATGTATTAAAACAGTGGTTCTCAAACTGTGGTACGCGGGCTTCCTCCTAGTGGTACGCGGAGGAATCGCCAAATAATGAAATAAACAATTAACACTTTTAATCCTTTGATGCGTAATATAACATTGATGTGATCAGCATTGGCTGTTTTGTGAAGCGTACGATCACAGCTCTTTGCTTAGAGTGTTTATATTAGTGCAATGTGTCATAAGCTGCTGAAAATCAGTTTCCGAAGTTTAAGAATTGATTCTGAAGCGTGATTTGACTGACATGAAAAGTAGCCAATCACAGTCGACCTTGTCTAGTTTTGCGTGAAACGTAAGGGCGGGACAAAGGCTTTCTGTGTTGCAGAGACAGAAAAAACAACTTAAAAACAAATGTTTTGTTAATTTAGTTGCTTCTCGGATGTTTTCACTATAGAAATGTCTAGCAGAGTTATTAAACCGCGGACATATTTCCTGCCTATTTTATGATCTTCATACACGTTACGCCCTCCGACAGCGAGTCGACTCGCCTCTGACCTGTCACTCCTCTATACAGTCTGAATGGCGGCGCGGGAATGGAGGTATTGCGCAATAACTCATTTCTGCAAATGTGGCGAGTGCTTTGTTTTATCACGAGAGCGCATTAATGTACGCAAATCGCTAAAACAGTTATGCGAGCTCTTAAATATGCTTTTTTTTAAATGAACTGCAAGTGCTCTCATGATCGCCTGTGTGCTCAGATTGAATACAATCGCGATCTTTCCACTATTAAAGTAGACATTTATTTTTGCTCCTTGACTAAATTTAATCAAAAGTATTCAAATTTATCAAATATTTAGAAATAGATTGATGCATAATCGATGACAATGCTAATGGTCTTCTTGTTTGGCTGTGTTGTGAAGTGAAACTTACTTTTAGCAAAGGTGGATTTTTTTATTTCTTTACGACAAAATAATTATGCTGGAAATGTTTCTGGATGAGGTATTTGTGTGATTTATACATTTAGCTGTATTCTGATCTGTCTTAAAGCATTACAGGTCAAAGCAATCCGTTGTTACTTATTGTTTATTTATCATAATTAACAATAAGGCTCTTAAAGCACTGCTTTGATAAATGTAGTGTTGTCATATTTTAAATACCTCAAGTAAAATTAAGTCATTTGTTTTATTTTTTTTAACTGACAGTGTACTTGTATTTTTTAAAGTTTGTATTTTAGATTAAGATCAAGTGTAAAATAAAATCTCCATGTGATGTACAGCTATTTAAGAAAATAAATTTGCCATATTGTAAAGAAAAATAGTGTAAAATAAGCAAATAAAAGGCTAAATTTAAATCTTTTTACCATATACTTTAATTTAACCTTTCAAAGCTTGCAAATATTGTTTAAAAATGGGCAAAAACTGTCTGGATGGCCTTAAAGATTATGTGGTAGTTTTGCCAGTGCTATTGAAAAAGATTAATTGTCATGAAAGGAAAAATTGACTATACTTCCTTTGTTAGTGCAAGTTCCTATACATGTAGCTTTGGGATTTAAGCAATTAAACCATTCAATCAAGTTTACACTTAAAAAAGGGATTTCATAATGAAAATCAGATTTTTTAAACTAGTACTTATTAAAAGAGTACTTTGTACTTTTACCTAATATTAGTATTATTTACTAAAATTTGTGTTATTTTAGCAGTGTAATAGTATTTTTACTTGAGTACAAAAAAGATTTTACAAGCATTTAGTGCAGGTTTATTATATTATTAATATATGGTTAATAAATATTATTATTATTATTATTATTATTATTATTATTTTATTATTATTATTATTATTAATGGTTTTTATTTGTATCTATTCCTATATAATGTTTTATGGGTTGCTGACAATACATTTCAGGTCTTCAATACATAGCATGTCAGTCTTGAAAAAAATAGGTGCTGGAATTGATTTTCATTAGGCTGTGCCTGTATGAACCCTGTTATGTACATTTAACATATATTTCAAGATTTGTCTGAAAGTGTATGAATATGACATTTAGCCTATATTTATGAGGTCCAAGCAACATTTCCAACTTTTGATGAATAGGCTACTATGAAAACTTTAGATTTAAGTACAGCAGTTTTCTTTTTACTTTTTAAGAACAGCGCCATTTTTAATGAACTTTTAAAAGCCCATTTTAACTAAAACTTTTTTTTTTTTTTACCTGCAAGCACAGTTAATGTTCAGACTATTTCAAATGTTTAAAGTGACTGACAATAATACATATTCTAAATAATAGAAATTAATCTGCATTGTTTTTAACAATGTGCACACCTGTAGCTGCTTAATTAGGCCTACGACGCTATTTTTTAATACTGGTTAAAAAATAGCGTCGTAAGGTGGTACTTGGAGAGACAACTTTTTTCTAAGGTGGTACTTGGTGAAAAAAGTTTGAGAACCACTGTATTAAAATATCGAAGATAAATAGCCTTAACTATATTTATAGTCTTATTTCTCAAAAATTGTGAAGTGTTATTTGTAAAAACTCAATTAATATGCATGATTGGCCACACCCCTATCTCATTAGCACAGTTAGCTCCACCCATTGAATCCAAAACAATTGTTTAATACTAAAGTATTTACTATTTACATACTATTAATTATGTTACTACAATAGACTTCGAATATAGAAAATACAGTTGCATTTATAAACGAACCAAAAGTTAAAAAGAAATATTAAAATATATAATTAATATATATTCGTCTTATTTCTTAAAACATAAAAAGTTGTAGTGTTATTTGTAAACAAATAAATTGATATGCATGATAGCCCAAATGGCTCCACTCACTTCAAGCTGGCCCCACCCAATACACTGATTGGTCACACCCCATCACATTAGCCCAAGTAGCTCCACCCACTGAATCCACAACAATTATGGTTATTTACAATAGCTATTTAAATAAAAGAAAACACATTTGCATTTATAAATTAAAAATGTAGTACAACTGGCGAAGAAGTCGCAAATAAATTAAATATGCAAATTTACAATTTACAAATTTTTTATTGAACCAAAAGTTACAAGAAAATTTATTAAAATTTCTAAGATAAATAATCTCATAATTATATATAGTCTTATTTATTAAAACATAAGCAAATGTAAAGTGTTAACTATAAACAAGTCAATAAATATGCATGATTGGCCACACCTGCTTCTCATTAACCCAAGTAGCTCCACCCACTGAATCCACAACATTATAATAACTGGGTATTTAACAATAGAAAATACATCTGTAGTTGTTTAAAATTAAAAATGGACAATGACTAGACCAACAAGTCACACATAATTTAAATATGCAAATTTATCCATTAATCCAGTGGCATACAAAGCTTTCGATTGACCAAAAGTACAAAGAAAATCAATTATAATATCAAATAAATATATATAGTCTTTTTATTATAACATAAAAAAGTAAAGCGTTATTTTTAAACAACTCAATTAATATGCCTGACTGACCACACCCACAACTCATTAGCCCAGGAAGCTCCACCCACTGACTCCACAACAATTATGGTCTATTACATTAATTATTTAAATAAAAAAATACATTTGAATTTATAAATTAAAAATGTACTAAAACTAGGCCAAAAACATCACACACAAATTAAATATGCAAATTTATGCAGTGACATACAAATTTTAATCAGACCACAAGTTACAAGAAAATGTATTAAAATTTCTAAGATAAATAATCTTATAGTTATATACAGTCTTATTTGTCAAAACATTAACAAGTGTAAAGTGTTAACTATAAATAAGTCAATTAACATGCATGATTGGCCACACCTGCATCTCTTTAGCCCAAGTAGCTCCACCCACTGAATCCACAGCAATTATGGTTCATTATAATAACTGGGTATTTAAATACAGAAAATACATCTGTAGTTATATAAAACTAAAAATTAACTGACTAGACCAACAAATCAGCCATAATTTAAATATGCAAATTTTTCCATGAATCCAGTAACATAGATATCTTTAGATTTCTAAAATCTTCTAAAATTTCTAAAGAAAGTTGCAACGAAAATCTATTAAAATTTGAAATAAATATATATATAGTCTTATTTCTCTAAACATAAAAAATTATAAAGTGTTATTTGTAAAACAACTCAATTAGTATGCATGATTGGCCACACCCCCATGTCATTAGCGCATGTAGCTCCACCCACTGAATCCACAAAAATTATGGTTTATTACATTCATTATTTAAATAAAAAAATATATTTGAATTTATAAATTAAAAAAGTACTAAAACTAGACCAAAAATATCACACAATTTAAATATGCAAATTTATTCAGTGGCATACAAATCTTTAGATTAAACAAAAGTTACAGAATATGATTAAAATATCAAATAAATACATATTCGTCTTATTTCTCGAAACATAAAAAAGTTGCAAAGTGTTATTTGTAAACAGCTAATTTAATATGCATGATTGGCCACACCCCCGATCACATTTGTCCGGGTAGCTCCACCCACATCAATCCTAATACAGTGTGTGCATGTGACTGAAAGCAAGCAGTTTTCCACACGTTGAGGAGTGAAGATGTGCTGGGTTTCTCCACAGTCTCACCTGGTTGAGTGTCTTCTGCAGGTATGGAGTCCCCATGCGGTCGGCCAGGTGTCTGTAACTGGGATGAGACAGAAAAAACTTCCTCTCGGCCGCCATCGCAGCGTTAATGTCCTTCTTTCCGTCAATGTCTTTCTGACTGCGGTTCACCACACCAATGTAGCCTAACGTCAGAAAACACATAAACACATCTCGTTTAGCATCAACCCGGAGGATTACCATGCTTTATTTTACTTTGAGAGGGATGTGCAAATAAAAAAAGAGTGAAAAATACAGCTCAAGACAAAATGATGTGGAGTTTACTTCTGTTTTTAAATATTTCGCACATGAGGATTAACAAAGACGTTTTTACAGTTTTTCCTATTATTCATTCATTCATTCATTCATTTTCTTGTCGGCTTAGTCCTATTATTTATCTGGGGTCGCCACAGCGGAATGAACCGCCAACTTATCCAGCAAGTTTTTTTTACGCAGCGGATGCCCTTCCAGCCGCAACCCATCTCAGGGAAACATCCACACACACACTACGGGCAATTTAGCCTACCCAATTCACCTGTAGCGCATGTCTTTGGACTGTGGGGGAAACCGGAGCACCCGGAGGAAACCCACGCGAAGGCAGGGAGAACATGCAAACTCCACACAGAAACGCCAACTGAGCCGAGGTTCGAACCAGCAACCTTTTTGCTGTCAGGCGACAGCACTACCTACTGCGCCACTGCCTCGCCCTCTATTATTTATTTCTCATTTATTTTTAGTTTGGCTGCACTAAAAGCAGTTTTTAAATTAAATTAGAGATAGATTAAGCCCTCTAAGAGTAACTAAGGCTCCTAAATCCAGTGTTTGGAGCTGCTGTGACACAAGCAGAGCGATCACCCCAATCTAGGTCTCTACATATAATAACGGAGAGTTCTGCTCTTGACAATACTGCAAGTTCACTAAAACCTGACTGGAAATATGACATTCCCTGGAAGAGCATCCGCTGTGTAAAGCATGTGCTGGATAAGTTGGCGGTTCATTCCACTGTGGCGACCCCTGGTTCATAAAAGGACTAAGTTGAAAAGAAAATGAATGGATGTTTATGGAGTTTTTGATCTGTGTATCTGACACAATGTTGGGATGGGGTAGCGAGAATTAAAAAGTGCGGTTTATTTATAAAATAATAATAATAACTTCTTACACACTTATATAGCGCTTTTCTGGGCACTCAAAGCGCTTTACACATAGGGGGTAATCTCCTCATCCATCAGCACCAAACTAATTTGGAGAGGATCCTGTGCTTATGATTGAACACAGCTGGTACAGCATTAGCATTAATATTGTTTTGCTAGTGCTAGTGCTAATGCTAGTGCGAAAGCATCCTAAATGTGACTTTAAGCTGAACACTAGTGTCTTGAAGAATATCTAGTCTAATATGATGTGCTGTCATCATGGCAAAGAGACATCAATTAGAAATGAGTTATTAAAACTATTATGTTTAGAAATGTGTTGAACAAAATCTTCACTCTGTTAATCAAATATGTATATATATATATATATATATAATATTTGTTTTCAGTTGTGTATAGTACTAGAAGTGTTTAGCCACTGTTTCTTTGGTTACTATAAGAGCTTGTGGTCGAATGCGGACGGTTTCGCGTCGTCCGCTGCGGTTTCGGGCATTGTTTTACTCGGGAGGCGTGTCCAAACGCCAGGTAAACACTATATATTGAGCACGCTAGCTTTAGTTAGCAGAAGAAGCACTTTACCAACGAGACCAACAGCCTGTAAGTACATTTAGACTTGTTTCAGTTGTTGTGTATGGTTTGAGGACTTGTTTTCAGCTGTTTGTGTAAGGTTGTAGAACATTTATATATACATTTATATATACATATATATATACAGAAGGGCTAATAATCATGAATAGTTCTGCATCTGTTATTAGTCATTATAGGTTATTTTCTCACCTCTCCGCAGCGGCAGCAGCTTGTTCTCCAGGATATCGCGAGCATCCGTTCCTTCATCCATCAGATCCAGTTTAGTGATGACACCGATGGTCCTCAGACCTGCCGGAGAACACAAACACGGTCAGATGCGTCTGCTTCAGTATTGTATTGGATTAAATGGGCAATTATAATTAACCTGCTTCATATATTAAATATTTAACATTTGAATGTCTCATCGGTTGTGTGAGGTGATGATCTTCAGATCTGGCAACTTTCGAAGACAAATGTTGCCAGGTTTGCTCTATATGTTTGCTTCTGTTTGTCTTCTCTCCCCCACCTCACAACACAACAACCCCAAACATGATTAACTCTGAGTGTGCCCCACACGGGTCAGTGGCTTTGACAAACCAACTGTAGAAAACACTCTCTTTTATCTATCTGACACTTTAAGCGCCCTATCATACACCCAGCGCAATAAGGTGCAAGACGTGTTTGCTTCGATGTGTTGCTATTTTCAGACCAGCGCAACCTAAATTTTCACATTTTCCACCATGTGGTTTAAATAGTAAATCTGTTTGTGCCACTCTGTGGACTCATGGGTGTGCTGGTGTATGAAGGAGGTGTGTTGAGGCGCATTGTTGTAGAAACTGAAATAGACCGCACCATTGACCAACTAAAAGCTGCTCTAAAGTCCAGCAGAGTGTGTTAGTTATGCAGGTCTAAATGCTTACACACTGCTGAATACACACAGGATGACCAGCAACACTCAAACATCTGATGAAAACAATTAAAGGATTAAAATGATCCAGAAATGATGATTCTCTACATCAGTATAAACAGCACTGCCTCCATGCCTTATACACCTCTGGGGGCTTTTTCAGTTTATTCATGACCATCTGCATCTGTATAATGTGATTATTATGATCAGTATTATTGATTATCTGCAGATTTATATTTGCTTTATTAAACACAAGTGTAGATGTGTCCAGCTGTGGGGTTTTGGAGACGTCTGCATCAGCATATGTGGATAAGAACAGGCCGTGTGTTTGGATGTAACTCAGTTTTCTGACTACACTTCAGTATTATTGTTCATTTATTCCTCTGCTTGAGATTAGACCTGAATTTAGAAATAGTTTTAAAGCAAATCTTTGCTATTAAGAAAAGAAAATTAAACATGTGGGTTAATGGATGTGTTCAGTGGAGTGAGTTTCCACCGTTTCCTCACTCCACCAAAGTAAAGGAGTAAAGAATGAAAATAAAGTAAAGAGGCTGAATGGAGGAGGCTCGTTCTTTATCCTCGTGCTGCAGATGCTCTGTTTAACTGTTTTCTCACTAGTGAAGCGTTCAGTTTTTACACTTACAAAGTCACCAGTGTTTTCAACTATTTCCAATGAAAAGTGGCTAAAGCCTGCCCGAAAAGTAACTAAATGTTGCTAGATGACGTCACGCACTAATTTGCATATCAGTGACATCATCACAGAATCTGACAAGCATAAGCCCGTCATGTCTCTACTCTCTGAGGCGCCGTGTATTCGTGTATATATTCGTGTTATAATAAAACATTACATTCAGATGCACAATAAATGGGTTCTTATTAACATATCACTTTGCGTGATGACGTCATTGCGTAATCGCAACTCAAAACTACATCTTTATGTAGTATACAAAATAATTTATGCTTTCTCAAATTGACTAGCCATCGCAGCAAAAACATTATTTGAAATACGTCCATTTAGATTCATAGGAAAAATATAGTTGACTCCTTATAAAAGTAACACAAACACTTTTTATTTCTGATTATAACACTGATAATGGACAGTTGCATTCTTTTAAACAACCACAGCTTATGTCCTTACTCTTTTTAGCTTGTGAAATGGACACATGTGTGAAAGTGGCAATTATAGCTACCTAAATTACTTACAATTATATATATGTTAACAAATATCATTAAATTAAGAGTTACGAAAAACAATCAGAGCTAGCAATTTACACTCTCAGGAATAAAGGTGCAGGAGCTGTCACTGGGGCAGTACCTTTTCAAAAGGTACATATTTGTACCTAAAAGGTCCATAATGGTACCTTAAAGGTACTTTTTAAGTACATTTGGACACTAATATGCACTTTTGAGGCACCACTGTGGATTCTTTGGTTACAAATGTGTATCTTTTGAAATAGTACAAAAGTGTACCAAAAAGAACTCTTTTAAGTCACTCTTTAAGAATTGCTAGAAGTAGCCAAAATTGCTAAAGTCGTTGCTACGTGCTTTTTGAAAAAAAAGGTTGCTAGGTTAGTTTGAAAAGTTGCTAAATCAAGCAACAAAATTGCTAAGTTGGCAACACTGAAAGTCACCATGTAAATAGCAAACCCACCATGGAGCGACGCAACTGACTCTTACCGTACGTTCACACCGAAAGCGGCAAGAGCGTCCAAGGTCGCTCTGGCTGCCCTGTCGACAACGCTGTCTGCTTTCAGCTCCCGCGGCGAGAGCGTCAAAACTCACTGCATTGATCTCATATTTAAAGGAGCCGTTCTTATCACTTCTTATCAAATTCATATAACAAAGGAAGATCAAGTTGAGTGTGGTGTGGCTTTGCTCTATTTACCCAATATGTGTCCATATGTCTGAAATATCCTAAAGCAGCTAACGTTATACTGTTTTGTACTGTCACGTCGCGTGAGATTCCCGCTTTTTTAAGATAAATATCTATAACATTAATGCACATCAGTAACTCGCCAGTAACTTATTTAATGCATGTTGGAAATCCAGCGACCGCAATCATCAAACCCTTGGGAGCAACTGTGGTCGGAACCAAAGTTCACAGGTCTGTGTTCTCTGAACTGCTCTCAAGCGATGGACGTCTTCATTCTGATTGCTTGCCGCTGAACCGCGTCATAGCTCATTACCATAAAGTTGACTTAATTTCAACTCTCCTCAATGCCCACACCGGAGAAGACGCGCTGCGCTGCTCCTCGCTGCCAGCTTTCATTAAAAATGAATGACTTCCGGCTACTTTGTCGCTCTCACCACTTTTGGTGTGAACGTACGGTTACGCCCCATTCACACGGGGCGTCAACGCTTGACAGAAGGCGTGTCTGAAGTTGGGGCTGGAGCGATCGTCAAAGCAGCGTCAGCCAATGAATTTTAGTCAGCATTAGGCAACTGTCTAGCTGGTGTGTTTGCATACAGCAATCTGATTGGCTGACGCTTCCCACAATGCAGTTCGACAACGCCTGACGTCACCCATTTAAAGTGAATGGGAAGCGTTCCCGCTAATGCCCCGTGTGAATGCAGCGTTAAAGGGAATGAGAGACGTGACTCTGATTGGTTTAATGCAGGTTATGCTCAAAACACACCCACAACTCCCTAAGAGAATAAGCACAACACTGTTAGACCATGTGCTGTGGCGCACACCGTATTTTTCGGTCCTTAAAATATTAAAAGTAGATTCAGACACGACCTTAATGCTTTTGCGCCCTGCGCTACAGACTTTGCACCTAGATCATTAAAATAGAGCCTGAACAGACACTTGTACTAGTTTAGTGCACATTTGCACTAGATACTTTCTTACAATCACTCTATTATAAAAAAACACAGCGCATTTATGAAGTGTGCCTCACACAGGTGAGTGGGCTTGACAAACCACTGGTACAAACACTCTTCTCTCTGTATAAAAACTCTCCCGCCTCCTAACTCACGTAATTCCCCGAGCTGACAGCTCCTCTGTGTAATCAGCTCTTCACGAGTTCACACTTGCATTCGTTTAAGTATAAAGCATATTTGGCGTGCTGTGGAAGGGCTCTGAGCTCGAGGAGACACCCCAACTCGAGTTATTCCCCTTATCAGGAAATCCACCATGGAGCGACGCAACTGTCTCTTACCGTACTTTCACACCGAAAGCGGCAAGAGCGTCCAAGGTCGCTCTGGCTGCCCTGGCGACAACGCTGTCTGCTTTCAGCTCCCGCGGCGAGAGCGTCAAAACTCACTGCATTGATCTCATATTTAAAGGAGCCGTTCTTATCACTTCTTATCAAATTCATATAACAATGGAAGATCAAGTTGCGTGTGGTGTGGCTTTGCTCTATTTACCCAAAATGTGTCCATATGTCTGAAATATCCTGAAGCAGCTAACGTTATACTGTTTTGTACTGTCACGTCGCGTGAGATTCCCGCTTTTAAAATATAAAAGAGGATATTCCCACTTTTTAAATTTAAACAAAGAGTAATTGGTATTCGAGCGAAGTGTCTAGCCCGGCTGCAGAACGCTCCCCCCGGGAATTCAATGCAAGAGGTGAGGTGACGGGGTGGTGGAGGGATGCTAAAGTCGTGAGATGCTGCAGGTAAGACAGCTTTGGTATATATAGGGGTTTGTTCAAGAACTGATTTGATAATGGTATGATTGTCGATGACGTATTCGATACTGAAACTTCTGCGCATGCTCCTCCCGAAATTTGTTTACAAACATCACTTGTTGTGTGTGTTGCCTCTTGTAGTTGAATCACTGAATGCCTCCTCAATTGTAAGTCACTTTGGACACACGTGTCTGCTGAGTGACTAAATGTAAATGTGTGTATCAGCTCCCTCACCCTGCGGGTCGACTTCTTTGGCGATCTTCAGGGCATCAGAGTTAGCGAGATCAGAGTTAGCGGGCGACACGGCCAGCAGCAGGCAGTTCTCTTTAGTCACAAACTGCATCAGCATGTCTTTAATCTGGTGCTCGATGTCTGCAGGCTGATCTCCCACCGGCACTTTAGTCATTCCCGGCAGATCCACCAGCGTCAGGTTCAACACTACAAAACACACAACTCATTACAGACAGCAGAGAGACGAGTAAAACACACTGCACAACTGTCAAGAATCACACTGTAAAACATTCAGCTTGATTCTGAGTGGTTGAGCCACATTTAAAGTAAGTATTAATATCAATAATCAGAGGTTAATTTGATCTGACCGTTTGGAGAGTAGACGCGCAGGTTAATGGGGACAGGAGAGATGCCTTTATTCTGGCCCGTGACTCGATCCGTCTCCGCCTCGATCTCCTGACGAACCTCATCGAAATCCGTGAACTTTTTCCCCTTACAGTGAAGAAATTCAGCATATTCTGAGAGGAAGCAGACGAGCATGTTAGAAAACACAATGAAACATCTGAACTCTGAATGCTCAAAACACACACAGAACTCATCAAGAGAATCAGCACAACCCTGTTAGACCGTGCGCCAGGGGCAGAGCAGATTTATCTATCCTTAAAATAGCACAAGTGGATTCAGAACTGGCCTTAATGCTTTTGCACCATGAGCTTTAGACTCTGTGCCTAGATCATTAAATTAGAGCCCAAAGTGTTTATTAAAGAGCCCCTATTATGGGTTTTTGAAATGATCTTCACGCATTAAGGCTGATTTATACTTCTGCGTCAAACGCCGGCGTATGCTACGACGCTGACGCATAGCCCTTCGCTGTGGCCATCGGCGTCACTGACGTGCACCTCTCAAAAAATGTAACTACACGTCGCAACAATGCGTAGCGCAAGCTCTGTGATTGGTCGGCTTGGTAGCGCTGACGAGTCTGGGCGGGACTGAGAGCCGCGCGAATGGCGCTAGCGATTGTTTACAAGTGTGGAGTCCCATGAAGGAGCTCCGGATGGAAAGTTTTGTTTTGTGTTTACCTCATAGTTAAAGTTGCTGCACGTCCGCCGGTTCCTGCCTCAAAATGAGCGAGTTTGAGCCACTTGTACATCCAGGAAGTGTTCAGGAAAAGCAAACTCGACACAGAGGAACATTTACACCTCACTGCCAACTAGCGTTTCGGAAGTGTTAATGCAGATCAACAGAGACAGCGCGCAGAAGTATAAATGCACAACTACATGCGTTGCATGCGCCGTGAGTTACGCCGGTCACTTGACGCAGAAGTATAAATCAGGCTTTAGCCCCTTTCACACATACACACCTTTCCGGAAAATTACCGGCAATTTTCCAGAAAGGTGTGTATGTGTGAACAGACCCTTTTTGAAAATACTGGTAAATTCGTTCTGGCTATTTTCCGGAAAGAGAAGTTGTAACATTACCGCTAATTTGCCGGAATGCTGCGCTGTGTGAACGCAGAAGGAAGATTGCTGGAAAGAGCGTGTCCATGTCTAGAACGTGCTGACGTGAGACGTCTGCTTTAGCCAATCAGAACAGTCAGACGCATTCACGTCCGCGCGGTTTATGAGAATAAAAGCCTTTGAATATTTTTCCAGACACATTTAGCTGCTAGAAATTAGTCAGATCACGTTTATATGTTCATCTTAATGCCAAACCTGTAATTCATTATCGATAAGATGATGTTTATGATCATGATGAAGATTATGATAAGGAGCTGTTTGTTTACCTTCAAGCTTTGCATGTGCCCGTGAAAAACAGCCCATGTGCACAAGCACACACACATATCATGTACATCTCGACATGCGAAAGTGTTTCTCTACATGTTTTCATCGGAGTTGTTCTCAATACTGATCATCCACAGAGTTTGTGATGAAGTCAAATGTTTACAAACACAAGCGCAGCCGTTTAGAGCTCATTTGTGGTGAATGATGTCAGAATTTACCGGTATTTTGGAATGGATGTGTGAATGCTCTTTTCCGTAAAAATTCCGTAACGTCCTCGCCTGTGTGAACAGCGTTTTTTTAATTTTCCGATAAAGTCGTTCTGGAAATGTTCCATATATTTACCGGTATCACTGTGTGAAAGGGGCTATTGTGTAACACAGCTCTGAGTGATTGAAATTATCCAGCTGAGGGTTAAATCTGAAAGTGCGCCGTGTTTAAAACTATTATTTCTTTAATGAAATAGTCAACTCAGAGTTGAATCAATGAATCGAGTTGGGTTCGGATCTTTTGCTTTAACGTGTCGACGTCGATACAGTATATCACTAAATATGTAGTTGCAGATCTGGTAAAATGTGAGCATGATTTCCCTTCAGACACTAGCGGAGCACTGGGGATCACAGGACTGATCATGACTGAAGATGACGATCAGATCACGGCTAATGGGAATAAAGGGTTAAAGGTCATTTTCACAACAACACCACAGTATAGCCAACAGTGTGTGTTTCTGTCATTTCTCTGATGATTGATGCAATAACCTACGCTGCAACGCGGGACTCACCGGCCGTTTGCTATTAGAGGAAGGAGCAGCAGAGACTATTATGTAGGGCACTCTGTCGGGGACTTTGTTAGTAACTCTTGCTGTTCATATGGACTTCTTCCTCCGGATCAGATCATGTAAGTGTGATTAAAATTGTTGCCTCCTTTTGTGTTGTTTGCAAAATATGTGTTTCAAGAGTTTCATGAGTCCCGCCTGGTCAATGAGCAAGTAAGGGAAGTACGAGATCAGGAAGTTCTCGAGAGCTCCCCCTGGTAAAGAAGGAAAGGGGGAGATGGGGTGGATGAGGGGGTTCTTCGGAATAAGGGTAAGGTGATAACATAAGGGAGCAGTTTTAGCTGGGCTACTTATAGTGTGTTTACATTAATCTGATTGGCTAACAAATGATTGTAGATGAGAGCAAGGTTATAATAGTTTTGGATTTTTCATTAGTTTTAGTTTCTATTTCGTCTATTTTAGTTTCTAAAATTCAGTCAGTTTTAATTAGTTTTAGAGGCAGATTTTCTAGTTTTTATTAGTTTCTATATTTTAAAAAGTCTTAGTTTTAGTTTAGTTTTTGTTAGTTTTAGTATAAGTTTCATTTTTTTTTCTAAATGAGGATATTTGTTAGGTACAAGATACAAAATCAACAGGATAATTATTGTATAATTAAAAACGCAGTCATACATTTTTTGAAACATGTATTCAGAGGACACATGAACACTATCATCTACCACAACCATCTACCCATCCTCAAACTCAAATACAGCAGCCCACAAGAAAGCAGCCCTAAATAAAATATGTGTGCAAGGCTGCTTGTGAGGTTAGAGATAGTGATGGGCAGGCCCGAATTAACCAATGGGCATTATGGGCACATAATGCACATACTCTCCATCACGAGGAAGACAAGTCGGAATGATTAATAAGTGTGTGTATTATGGAGGACTCAGATTCCTAGAACTGGATTGGAGAGGTGTTATCCAAATCATGTGCATTATAAGTTTGTAGAAGTTATACATTAAAAATACCCTTAAATATAAATGTTAGTGCTGCTTCAGTGAACTTGAACAAGTATATTAAAATCTATTAACTTCCCTTAGTTGTATTAGTATTTTGTGCTTAAATGCTTTAAAAATAAGTTAAATCTCTGCAGACTAGAAATATATGTACTGTATATCATCTATTTAAAAAAAATGTGGGCAATACATTATAGATTATTTTATTTAACAAATATTATATCAATATTATTTATAATTCAACTATGGGGTGCGGCTATAGGGGGCCTACAAGACATTGTGCCCAGCAGCATCTGAATTATTAATCCGGGCCTGGTGATGGAAAATTCAGATTTCTAATGCTGATGTTTGGACTCAACATTATGTAGTCGGCAATAGTCATTTCAGTCAGTTAAAACATCATCATGATCTGAAAAATGTCTTACAGTAAAGTTTTACTAACTGTAAACCCAACTGAATCATGCTGCACTTATTTAAATTTCATCACGATTGTCTGTTATGAAATAAACTTACGTTTTTCACCAGATCCTCTCATTAAGCCCTCAGTTCACCCGCGCTGCAGTTGTTCCAGTTCAGTTCAGTCATACAGCAGGCTGTCATGTACTGTTTGTGTTTGATTCACTGAATCACGCATGTGCAGTATTATCGGTTCATCGCTTCTCAATGTAACGTTACTGTTCTAATAACTGCATGAGAGTATATATTGGATTGTTTAGAGTCAGAGGGGGTATTAGGCTTGTTATTACGTAAGAAGTGGGTGAATAAGTGCTTACTAGGAGACGCGAATCGTTTCAAATGATTCAGCATCAGCGAGGATGACTCGAGGAGAACCGGCTCGATCTGCCCAATGGCGGAAGGAGACTCTGAGGTGCGAAAGGGTCAAACACAAACACCTGCAGCGCGGATTATATTTACTTATAAAATGCTTACAGTAAGATTATTTATTAAATACATATACAAATACGAAAACGAAGAGGGTTTTTGCTATAATTTTAGTTAGTTTCAGTTAGTTTTGTATGTACACAATACAGTTTCGGTTAGTTCTAGTTTTTGAAAAACTCTCATTTTTATTTTTATTTCAGTTAACGACAATTATTTTACATTTTAGCTTTCTTTTTTCGTTAGTTTTCGTTAACTATAATAACCTTGGATGAGAGACCAGCTGCGATCAATCATATCACGTGCTCCTCTCAAAATTAGATTGTGAAACTTTACTTAAATGTGTGCTACTTTACTTATAAGTTGTAATCACCCCGCACAGCTTGTGATCACGTGTCTATTATAGATCTGTGCTTGTACTGTATGTCTCAGGTTAAATCTGTATGTTGTTCAGATATTGTGTCCAGAAACACGTTGAAAATGTGATGCGTGCTTCTTCCTTTAGCGATTTATATGCGTTTCTGAGCAGCGATCCTCTGCTGTTTGCCTTTCTATGGCCATATGGTTCCGCGGCATGGTCAATTTTCAGAACAGTTCAGCTTTTGCCGCTGTGTGGATTAATACTGAATGTGTGCCGCTGGGATTACTTAGGGTTAGGGTTAAGAGTAGAGTACATGCTGCTGTTTAACTGCACTGCTTTAATGCATTCCTGCATTGGGCTCTCACATACTCTCTGCTATTTCATAGCCATGGTGGGCGTTTCTCTCTATCTCGCACTGAATCCAGTCAACCAATCACAACAGACTGTGTCATCGGTCCAATCAGTGCAGATTAGCTTTGCGTTAAGGAGGGGTTTGGGAATTAATATATTGCTAAAGGAATAATATGGGAGTCGCTGGGATAATCAGGTAAAAATGAATGCAGATTATAAAACAATGAAAGTGCTTTTGACCTGATGCAGATCAGCCTGCGGCTGGAGACCCCCAAAACCACAATATGACCTTTATTATGCATAACAGGGGCTCTTTAAACCATTAAAGGTTCAAGACACCCTGGAGAACTTTTTTTTTATATTAACAGATGTGTGTGTGTTGAGCATCAGTTAAGACAATGTTAGCACCTGTCAGCTTTAATTGTGGGGAAAACTGGATAATTTGGAGCTTTTGTCAGCTAATTTCAGCTTCCGGGTTTAAAATGATTTTTGGGGCGGGATCAAAATCGGCGACGTAGCGCAGTACTGCAAGTTCAATGATGACGCGTCGGTTTCTCATTATTATTCATACCGGAGTTTTCTTATCCTATGAGAAGAGCCGGCTGCTTTATTATTCATGGGAGCACATGCATTCCGAAGGCAAGGCAGACCTGCCAGTTTCAAGCAAGCTGTGAGATATGGACCCACGGCACGCAGTAGCCGACTCGTATGCGTTTGTTTCCATGATCCACGGGGTTTGTTGCATGTTTTTTCCCCGCGATCTTGTCAGGGCCGATCATACAGCAAAGCTGTGTGTGTGCTGCAAGCATTTTTGTCAGGAGAGCAGCACGAGAATTGAAGAATGGCGGACGCTGTCTTTTATCAGGAGTTCATTCACATTCAGACACAACGCCGTGCTCAGATCTATAATTTAGACCCGGGGATCGAGGGAGAATCCTCAGTTATAGTGTTTACATGAACACACTTATGTTCATAATGATATAAATAATGGTTATATATATATGAAACTACGAATAACAAATGTAGCAGGGCATTAAATCACTGTTTATTTCTTTGCATTTTAACTTTGTGAACTATAAAGTCATGCGTCTCCTCACGGTTTGTGTCTCATTTTGTTCGATCTCCCTCTCTCCCCTGCTGGCCACGCCCACTCCTGCCCTATGCTCGCGGAGCTCCGCCCATTAATCATGCATCTTTTGAAAAAAATCCGAAGTAGACTTTAACCGAAAGTGGGGGGGGGTGTGTCATGGCCCATTAAACCAGGTGCAAATCTACTGCTTTTTAACCAGCAGGGCGCAGAATGTGAACATGATACCTGCGCCAGGCTGAAATAGCAAAAGCACTGATGACTACAGTAGCACTGGATGCTGCAATGCACCAGGTGTATAAGGTTCAAATATTTCCCAAATGATGTTGAGCAGATTCAGGAATTGTTCACAGTATTTCCTCTAATATTTGTTCTTCTGGAGAAAGTCTTTTTTGTTTTATTTGGGCTAGAATGAAAGCAGTTTTTAATTGTTTTAAAGCCATTTTAAGGTCAATATTATTCGCCCCTTCAGCAATATTAGTGTTGGATTGTCTCCAGAACAAACCACTGTTATACAATAACTTGCCTATTTACCCTAACTTTACCCTAATTACCCTAGTGAAGCCTTTAAATGTCACTTTAAGCTGTATACTAGTGTCTTGAAGAATATCTAGTCTAATATTATTTACTGTCATCATGACAAAGAGAAAATAAATCCGTTATTAGAGATGAGTTATTAACACTATTATGATTAGAAATGTGTCTAATAATCTGCTCTCTGTTGAACAGAAATTGGGGGAAAATATAGAGGAGGGCGAATAATTCTGACTGTGAATAATTCAATTGTGTGTATCTGCTGTGTTTGTGCAGTGACACTCGTCTGATCTCAGACCAGTGGTTATGGGTAGTTTTTAACTGAGGAGACTGACCTGTGGGACAGTTGATAAGCTGCAGGACAAGAGGACGACGGGTGACGATGCCGGATCCACGCGGGAGGAAATCCCTGTGAAACACACACACACACACACACACAGGTAAAACAGGGGCCTGGACTGGACTCACACTACTGACACACACTGCAGGAGACATGCTAAAACTCACTGATGAAATGATGTTTAGTGAAGTCTAGTTTGCTTTTACCCACACTCGAAAATGGTCCTCTGCTTTTAACCCATCCATGTGCACACACACATTATGAGTGAGGAGTGAAAACACACAAACACACACACACACAACCTGAAGATGGAGAGTGCACGGTTCACTCACTCACTCACTCTATCTTTGGGTTGCAAGTCTAACTCACTAAGCTCACTGGGTCCTTTCAGCATTAATATAGTAACTCTCACGGTGCATTATGGGTATTGTTGAGTGCACATGGCTTGTGGACATTTCAGAATATTTCCTGGATTGTTTTTTGCTTTCTTCCTTGCCTGTGTTATATCTTCTACTGCCTGCCCTGATCTCTTGCCTGTTTTACTCAGGGACATTGCTTTCTGCTCATGTTTTGACTTCTTTATAGATATATACAGCTATATGTTAAGACTTGAGGATGCAGGACAGTCAGGAAACCCCCAAAATAGCCTAACAACATTTCCTCCAGATCTGCTTTCTGTAATCATGTGTCCTCCTGCTCGTCACTCTCACTGTGAGCTGCTGAATCTGATCCGTCCAGATGGCCTGAGCTGCAGGTTCAACAACACACGCCATATGGAGGAGACACAACGAGCAGAGACACCCTGGCTGCCAGCCAATCACAGTCACAGTCAGGCAATCACAGCCACCCAATCGCAGCAGCCAATCACAGCCACCCTGTCACAGTTAGACAGTCATTCAGCCAATCACAGCCACTCAATCACAGCAGCCAGCCACAGTCAGCCAATCACAGCAGCTGATCAGTCAGCAAATCCTAGCAGCCGATCACAGCAACCAATCACAGCAGCCCAATCACAGCCACAATCAGCCGATCACAGTCAGACAGTCATTGCCAGCCAATTACAGTCACAGTCATTCACAGTCAGCCAATCATTCACAGATCACAAAAGCCAATCGCAGTCCAGCAATCCCAGCCACCTAATACCAGTCAGAAAAGCACAGCAGCCAATCATAGTCAGCCAATCCCACCGGCCAATCTCATCATTCAATCCTAGTCACCCAATCACAGTCAACCAGTCATAATCAGCAAATTCCATTCAGCCAATCATAGCAGCCAATCACAGAAGCCAATCAAAGCCAGGCAATTCCATCCACCTAATACCAGTCAGAAAATCACAGCAGCCAATCACAGTCAGCTAATCGCAGCAGCTGTTTACAGTCAGCCAATCCCAGTCAGCAAATCACAGAAGCCAATCACAGCCACCCAATCACAGTCAGCCGATCACAGTTAGCCAATAACGGCCACCAAATCCCAGTCAGCAAATCTCAAAAGCCAATCCCAGCCGCCAAATCCTAGTCAGCGAATCCCAGCAGCCAATCACAGTCAGCCAATTCCAGCAGCCAATCCCAGTCAGCCGATCACAGTCAGCCAATCACAGCAGCTAATCCCAGTCAGCCAATAACAGCCACCAAATCCCAGTCAGCAAATCAAAGCAGCCAATCCCAGCCGCCAAATCCTAGTCAGCGAATCACAGCAGCCAATCACAGCCGCCAAATCCTAGTCAGCGAATCACAGCAGCCAATCACAGTCAGCGAACTACAGCAGCCAATCCTAGTCAGCAAATCACAGCAGCCAATCACAGTCAGCCAATCACAGACAGCCAATAACAGCAGCCAATCACTGTCACTCAATCCCATTCATCCAATCCCAGTCACCCAATCACAGCAGCCAATCTCATTCATCATATCCTAGTCACCCAATCACAGTCAACCAGTCACAATCAGCTAATCCCATTCAGCCAATCATAGCAACCGATCACAGAAGCCAATCAAAGCCAGGCAATCCCATCCACCTAATACCAGTCAGAAAATCACAGCAGCTAATCACAGTCAGCTAATCGCAGCAGCTGTTTACAGTCAGCCAATCCCAGTCAGCAAATCACAGAAACCAATCACAGCCACCCAATCACAGTCATTGAATCACAGCCACCTGATCCCAGTCAGCCAATCGCAGCAGTCGATTGCAGTCAGCAAATTACAGAAGCCAATCACAGCCACCCAATCACAGTCAGCCAATCCCAGCCACTTAATCCCAGCTGCCAAATCCCAGTCAGCAAATCACAGCAGGCAATCACAGTCAGCAGATCACAGTCAGCCAATCACAGCAGCCAATCCCAGTCAGCCAATCACAGCAGGCAATCACAGTCAGCAGATCACAGTCAGCCAATCACAGCAGCCAATCCCAGTCAGCCAATCACGGCCACCAAATCCCAGACAGCGAATCACTGCAGCCAATCCCAGCCGCCAAATCCAAGTCAGCGAATCACAGCAGCCAATCACAGTCAGCCAGTCACAGCCACCAAATCACAGTCAGCGAACTACAGCAGCCAATCCCAGTCAGCAAATCACAGCAGCCAATCTCAGTCAGCCAATCCCAGTCCGACAGCCCATCAGCATTGATCAGCAGGCCTCAGAAGTATTGCTGCACACACACACACACACACACACACACACATACACACACACACACACACACACACACACACACACAGCATCAGTTACTGACTCAAATCAATACTGCTGAGAAACGTGACTGAGCAGAATCCCCCGGTGTGGTGTTACAGTGGTGTGTGCAGTAGCTTCCAGTATTAGAGCTAGCTGCTATAGTACAATTAAACCATTAAAACTAGCGCCCCTTTAGATACAACTTCACCTTCTTATACTTACTAACATGAACTAAGAATAAACAATTCCTGACCAGGATTTATTAATTATAGTTCAGTATTAAATTGCTTTATTAATACTGCTTTAAAGTGTTGTGCTTGTAGTTATTGCAGATTATTAAACAGCTTTCTGGAATGCTTGATTCTGATTATGTAAAGCATGGGTCTCAAACTGGATTCCTGGAGGGCCGCAGCTCTGCAGTTTTGCTCCAAACCTAATCAAACCCAGCTGATCCAGCTAATGAAGGTGTTCAAGATTCTTTTTAACACTTTGATTATTTGGATCAGCTGTGTTTGATTAGGGTTGGAGCAAAACTGTGCAGAGCTGCGGCCCTCCAGGAATCCAGTTCGAGACGTATGATGTAAGGGATAAAGTACATCCAGCTGGTGGGTATAAGACTGAAGGGTTTATTCTGCAATAATATCTGCCTGCATGTACTTGATCCAACTTATTACGTTGCTATTAGCCACAAAACATAGAAATTAAAATTGTTCTGAGCCATAATAGTTCATTAATTTTTCAATTAAAGGCAAAGCTGATTGATAACATAGCGTCTGATAGGATCATACACTAACCTACACATTACTCAGCCACAAGATGGCGCCAAACAGTCAAAAACAGTGACGTATCGCAGACAACATATAAATATGGATGTATTCACTGGTTATTTTAGTATGCGGGTTGTTATCTGGAAATAACACACATTTAAATGTAGCGACTGACCAATCAGAATCAAGTATTCCAGACAGCCATGTAATAATCAATTCAGCATAGCACTCTTGTTTTAAAGCAGCTTTACAAATGTGATTGCACATCAGTGTTTATGTAACCAGAAGGAGTTTGAGCACCATTATACATGACATTTATTGCCATACTGAAGGCAACAGAAGATTGTTTACCTCATTACTGAACATAAAATAACATGCAAACAAACAGATAAATCATGGATTTTGTGGCTCAGTGCAAACAAACAGCACCAGTCACTCATCTCTACGCTTAATGCTGATCTTTAAGGCACTGGGGTTAAGTTAAAAAGCTTTGGTATGGTGATATTGGTTGTTTCGAGTGAGTAACTGCATTTTGCAGACATGTAATAAAGTTCTGAAGTTCCAGCAAACAGTTTTGAGATTTGCACTCACAGTTTAGAGAATGTCAAGTCTGTTTCCCAAAAAAGCCAAAGCATTCGAGAAAAAAAGAGAGTAAGAAAAGCAAGATTTATAAATGAATGGATGGATTAATTGATGTATGAATGGATGGATGAATCGATGGATGGATATAGATGGATGAACAAAAGGATGGATGTATAGACGGATGGATGGATCAGTGGATGGATGAATGGTTGGATGGACGGACATGGATGGTTGGATGGATAGATGGATGGACAAATGGATGGATGGTTAGATGTATGGATGGATGAAAGGATGGACTGATGGATGGATGGATGGATGGATGAATGGATGGATGGATGGATGGGCAAATGGATGGTTGGATAGATAGATATATAGATAGATGTATAGATGGATGAATGGATAGATAGCTAGATGGATGGCTATTTGGACAAATGGATGGACACATTAATGGACGGATGGATTAATCAATAGATAGATAGATAGATAGATAGATAGATAGATAGATAGATAGATAGATAGATAGATAGATAGATAGATAGATAGATAGATAGATAGATAGATAGATAGATAGATAGATAGATAGATAGATAGATAGATAGATAGATAGACGGATGGATATGCTATGTGATTTGTTCATATCGTCTCCCCTAATGTAATTCAAAATTAAATGGTCTTCTGTAAATCAGTATCTCTCTCTCTCATTCTGTTTGTCTTTCTCTATTTCTCTCTCTATCTCTCCCCCCTCCCCCAGTGTCTGCAGGCAGCTGTGATGATTGACAGCTCAGTTAGACTCCGCCCCCTCCTCATCTAATCCCAAAGCACCGCCTCCTCCCCCACTGCATGCAGAGTCAGCGTATCACACACACACACACACACACACACACACACACACACAAACACACACACACACACACACACACACACACACAGGTCCTACCCATTTGTACCTTGTAAACTACATAAACAAGCACAGACACACACACACACACACACGTTTGTTTTTGTGAATTGTAGGGACATTTCATGTGCATAATGGTTTTTATACTGTACAAACTGT